AAAAATGTATCAATGTCATTGCATTAGATACAAAATAAATCCATTGGCATTTCTGAGCTAACAAACACAAGCAAAATATTAAAGTTTGTTAGGTTTTAAATTTTAAATTATACTGTTCAACATGTGTTTAAGTGTTTGGACACTTTGTGGTTGTCAAACGTTAGTACAATACCTTACCGAACTATACAAAAAAAATATAGTTGGTTCCGAGAGCCTGTAAACATCTATGTGCAGATGTCATTTAGTTTGCTATTTTATCTCACGCAATAAGATTCATAAGTTTGTTTGAAGTGTACAAAAGTGTTTTGGGGCCATTAACAGTGCACTGTAAAAAAAATCCCGTTGTTTTTACGGAAAAAACTGGCAGCTGTGGTTACCAGAACTATACCGTCAAAAATACGGTATCTACGTTTTTGATTTTACAGACTTAACTTCAAATTTACAGTAATAAACCATAATTCATTATCTGATATAATGATAATTTACCAACTTATTGAAGTTTTAATATCTGCTTTGTACCATTGCAATACACTGACAACCAACAACCATCACAACAGTGATGAGTCACATGATAAATCAAAGCTCATCACAAGCAATCTTCCACAAGAAAGTTAATACTATTATATTGAAGCTGTACAGTGTTATTCACACAAACATTAAACACCATCATGGTAACACACATGAAATTTTAAAAATGCAATAAACATTAATTTAACAACATTAAATGTAACATAAAACCCTAATGTACATAACTTATTAGAAAATAACTAAGAAAACTAAGAAGAAACAGTTATTTCAACAAAAATAAATCAAATGTGAAGTGTCATGCAGGGAATTGTGGGAATGTCAATTTACGGTTTTTCACTGTAAATTATACGAGTTGTTCTTTTCACTTTCAAAAACTGTAAATTTAATGGTATTTTACAGTAAAATTACATTAAATGTACCGTTAGATCTATCACAGTTATTTACCGTATATAGTAAGGAAACTTTCTGTTAACCAATTAACAGTTTTGCACTGTAGCATTTTTACAGTCTTTTACCGTTAAAATTACGATCATTTTTTACAGTGTGTGATACCGACCTGCAGTTCAGTATCAGTCTAGCGAAAGTATGGGAAAGAAAACTGCACTGCAGATTTTTTTCCAGTCTGTCACCATCCCAGCTCAGCATTACTGACATCAATGGAATGGGGGGAAGAGTCCCAGTCGCTCTGGATTTATGAGGCAGGACTGGAATTTAGGGACGCATGTGACACACAGCAGGCAGATCCTATAAATCCCCATCCAGTTGGGCTATTTCTGTGTTTCTGATGCCTGCAAATGGGGGATGCATCACAGATAAAGGGTCATTTCTAATCTGATAACAGATAGAGGGGCCCAAAGTCTTGTAATCTACGATGCATTCCACTCTCACCTTAGTGTTACTGAACCAAAGAAGAATGTGGTGGTGCAAGGCTCCAAGTACTCATGCTTTTTAAAGGGATGAGTTAAAGGGATAATTCACTTTAAAATACCAATTCTGTCATTTACTCACCATCATGTCGTTCCAAACCTGTATGACTTTCTTTCTGCCATGAAACACAAAAGGAGAAATTCTGAGAGACCATGCAATTATAAACAGGGACAGAAGTTTTCGTGCTTTAAAAGTGACACAAAAGCACCATGAAAGTATCAAAAAAGCTCTCCATATAACTGCTGTTCATTACAAAGAAAAGTCATACAATAAGTAATGCACCAATATTAAAATTCTGGGGCCAAAACCAATATTGAAATTCTTTACCATTATATAAATAAAGAATCAAATCAATTTAGACATCACATTATAACGGAGCCGTATGAAATTTAGATTATATTTAACGGTGTTATTAAATTATTAGTGTTTATAAAGATTAACTTTAAGTGTGCATAATATAATGGTAATATAATTTAAAAGGAATAAAGGAAAATAGCATGCACAAATAACTGTCTCGGCGGTTAACTTATATGGTACAGATACTGTATATTGTGCATTCCCACATACAATAGCTTTGTGTGAGGAACAGACTGAAAAGTCATTATTCAGTAAAAAACAACATGATCATGAGTAAATGACAGATTTTTCATTGTTAGGCAAGCTATTCCTCTACCATTATAGTATAAGGAAAGATTACCTGAACCTAAAATGAATTAAAAATGTGCAATTATTACAACATGTGACCAGTTAGAATAAACATAGAAAGCCCTTTTATTGCAAATACACATTCTAAATATAAAACCAACAACATGAATCATCCTTCAGTGTGATAATTAAAAAAAACGTTATATTAAGTTTATATATTTCTAAGTGATAGTAAACAACCAGAAGTAAACAACAAGAAAGTAAACAACTAAAGTGCATGTTGTTGTTGTTTTTTACCAACTCTGGGCACATAAAAATGACAGTGTTCACAACTATTGTTCTTTTCCCACCCATTTATATAATACATTCATGGTCTATTTTTCTGTTTTTGCTGTTTGAGCATCTTTCTTCGTTTTAGGATCATGTCATGAAGTTTATCGAGTCCTTCTTTGAGACCATCACCAATGATGGCGCAGGTGGGCTGCAGGTGCCATGGCGTAGAGGGTCCCAGTTCTTTGAGCGCCAGCATGGTCTCTATCTGGGACAGTGACAGAGCCTGTCTCAAGTCCTGCTTGTTTGCAATAATCAGCACAGGCACTCCTTGATTTTCAGAGGAGCGGGCGATTTTGTAAAGCTCCGTCTTAGCCTCTTCCATCCTCTCCGAGTCCAGAGAGTCCACAACAAACATGATGCCATCCGCGCATCGTGTGTAGGACTTCCAGAGAGGGCGCAGTTTCTCATGGCCGCCGACGTCCCAAAAGTGAAACGTCACTGTCCGGGAGTCCCCGACAGCTAATCGGAGTTTCTCTGCATTGAAACCTTTGGTGGGGACGGTGTTGACAAACTCATTGAACTGCAGACGGTACAGCACTGTTGTTTTGCCAGCTGAGTCCAGACCCAGAATAGAGATATGAAGAGAATTACAGAACGGAAGACTGGAAAGAAAGTTGGGTTGCTCTGATATTACGTTCCCCATTTCCCTCAGGAGTGTGAGAACAACAGGAGTTTAGGATGATGTTCCATAGGTCCAAAATCCCAGTTGCACATCCAATGCGTGCCTAAAAGGTCATAGGCACATGGTGGTTTTTAAATGGTGATTGAATGATCGAATACAATTTGGATAATGACAATTAATTATTTTTGTGTGGATCTGTTTTAAATACTGTCCCACTTTATCTTTACATGTCAAACAAAATGAGACTTTCAGGTAAAGTGGGTTACTTTAAAAAAAAAAAATCTGACGAATGATCCTAAATCATTATACTGTTGCCTTGATAGACCATATCAAACAATGGTTTCAACGTAGTTGGTCCAAACAGATCTAAATTAAGACTGGACTACCAGCTGGTAAGGGTTAAACTAACATGGTAGACCTTGCTCAAGCTGGTTAGTGCTGCAAAACAGCTTTACGCAACTAAATAACCAGTTTTGTTCCAAACACCAACGTGACCACCTTAAAGGGATAGTTCACCCAAAAATGTTTTTTTTTTTTTATTACTTACCCTCAAATAGTTCCAAACCTATATGAATTTCTTTCTTCAAAAAAGGAGATATTTTGAAGAATGTTGGTAACCAGACAGTTGATGGTAGCCATTGACTTCCATAGTAGGAAAAAAAAATACTATGAAGTCAATGGCTGCCGTCAACTGTCTGGTTACCAACATTCTTCAAAATATCTTCTTTTTTGTTCAACAGAAGAAAGAAACTCATACAGGTTTGGAACAACTTGAGGGTAAGTATTAAGTGAATTTTAATTTTTGGGTGAACTATTCCTTTAGGCTAATATGACATGGCTTTTCGTAGAAATGCAATTCGAATGTTTACCACTTTTCATTGACTTCTGTCCCACTTTATCTGACAGAAAAGGTTAAAAGCAGTGCCTAAATATTTTCATTAAAATTACATTAAATGATATATTTATATATTTACAGTACATTTAGGAGAGTATAGTATCATAAACTCAAAGTCTATATAAAAGTACATATCAATACGCACATTTCAAACATAATAGCCTACTTCGTCATACAGTAGTTTACGTAACTAACGTTACAAATTTCGAGAAGGAGCATTTCATTAATGTAAACATTATATTAATATGAACATGGGTGTGTTGTAAACCCACAAGATCTCAGTACGCAATGTAATTAACTCATGACGCAATATTGTTTCCTAGAAACTGATAAATAGGGTGGTCCAACAATGAAAGCAAGCGCGATAAGAGAGTTCTGCTGAGCACGTAACTTAGTTTCTTTGGAAGTCAATCCACCTGTCGAATCGAAACTTTTCTCAATGCAACTTAAGTCCACGCAGACGTCGTATATATCCATCCTAAACAGTGACTACATCCGTATATTCTACAAATATTACCTTAATCGAAGTGACAGCAGCTCTGGAGAAAATGTGTGGATGTTTAAAGCGCATGAACCGCAGCTCGCGCCTGGGGCCAGTATAATGAATTAATCATGACGCGCTGACAAAATGAGCTTTTATAGAAAATAAAGATGAGTCTGTACCCATTATCTTTAGCTAACCGTTTTAAAACTAAACTCACAGTCGCCCATTCAACTTACCGTTCAGACTTCATACTTCATTCACTAACGCCCTAGTAGCTACTAGTAGTAGCTCTGCTCTGCGTGCTGCTGACTGACTGACGCAACGCGCGCCTGCACTCACGAGCACACGCAGCAGCTCATTTGTTTACCTTTAAAATGATTGGTCAACGCAAACGGCGGTAATGCGCCCATAATGAATACAAAGAGAGAAAACTATTAAGTGTTTATTGTTTAAATTTCTAATACTATTAAAACTTATATTAAGACAATTAATAATATTACAATATTTAATAACATTTATAATATTATAAACAAAATTTAATTACAGTAACATCTCGTTTGTAACATTTTATCTTTATTTATATTAATGCAGTGCTTACATTTATTTAGTTTGTGCAATATAAAAAACATCTTTGGCTGTTTGCTTGTTTGTACAGTTTATCAAAAAAAGAAAAGAAACAGAGAGTGTGTAATAAACATCAATAACATGAGTGAATAAACAGACAAAACAGCAACCTCCTTTCTTTTATCTTGAAACAGATTCATTTCCTCCAGGAGTTGGTCAACTTTTCCTCAATTCGGTCCATTAAGGCACTATACACACCTCTTCTGCGTCGATATCTCTGTAACACAGAGAGTAAAATGTTTTCAAAACAGTTCATAAATCTGTTAATTAGAAGATATGGGTGTTTTCTACATGCTCACTGTATAAGATGCAGATTTTGGAGGCCATGGCATCTTTGGTAGTATGAGCCTTGGGTCCCATTTAAGCTCTGCCGGTTTGAAAGTGTCCATTTTGTCTCTGTGAGAAGGGTTCAGGTCAGGATGGCTGTCAGTGACTGTTGAGACATTGAAATAAAATGCAACACTTATCAGTAACATGCTGGGTCACTGGGTGGTTTCAAAGACCTTTGTGCTATACAATGTTTTTTATTAGATAAGTACAAGATTGCTTGTACAAACACAAGGGCAATAATATGTAACACAATTTATACCAACCCAAAGTTCAGTGTTGGAAAAAAAAAACGTTTTCAATCATGATGTCTTATGAAAATAATACACCTGCTTTTAGGCATTGAGACTTTAAGAACGAGCAGTCTGGATCCTTTTCTATAGAAGTCACCATGTCTGGCATTCCCTCAGCACACTGCAATCGGATAAGGAGTGTTTAAATGTATTATAGACTGTCATCTAGTGTTGATACAGTGCAGTGCAGATAATGTTGGCAATAATCTTTTTACTGTAAAAACTTACAGGTCTGAAGTTGTGAGGTTTTGGATCTTTGTAAGGCCCGACAGGATTCGTCCCTGCTCTCACAAACAGCAGTTTTGTCTCTAGTGAGTCTGGTGGTTTGTAGAATGTGATAAATGATTGTTGTTTGTGTTGAGATAATATCGAAGTACCATCCTTAATCTTTTCCAAAACAAAAGATTTTTGTTCCACACTATCATTTGATTTAACCAGGTTAATGTTTTTGCACTTGATCCGTGGCAAGCCCACAGATCTGTAGAGTTTCGGGGTGAAGTCAGGAGCTTTCATGTTCCATGGATCAAGGGGAACTTGGTGTGGCGGGACGAGTCCACAACTCCGGCTTGAGATCAAGTTTTGACTCACAGAAAAGAGAAGCTTTCTTCTGAGGTCAACAGACGTTGTAGTCTCCAAAGACTCAGGAAGATTCATTGTGAATCGGCCACATTCAGAGCAATGATCTGAGACCAAACATGTACTTTATAAACGGTTACTCTTTTCAGTGCACCAACAATTTCATGAATTTCATTGAATCTTATCTGATAAATGCCAGTATATGCAAAACCAGGAGCAAGATGATGACTTGGGTGATAGAAATGTAATTATATGTATAAAAAAAGCTACAATCTTTGTTACTGTATAATAATAATAATGGTTATAATAAGACATTACTGTAAATAATGTAAAAACAAAAATAAGCTTAACTAAATAAATGCAGAAATAAATGCAAAAGTAAATAAATACATTTGTGGATAGATAGATACACTGTAAAAAATATTTTAGCAATTTAGTTATTTCAACTTATTTTTTTATGTAGAGATAACTAGATTGTCCAGACAACAAGAAATTTTAAGTTTTCTTGTCCTCAACTTAACGAAATAAGTTAGTTACTGTAAACTAAAAAAAAAACATGCAAAAAGATAACACAAAATAATGAGTTAAGTTTTTTTACAGTGAGATAGATAGATAGATAGATAGATAGATAGATAGATAGATAGATAGATAGATAGATAGATAGATAGATAGATAGATAGATAGATAGATAGATAGATAGATAGATAGATAGAAAAGATAGATAGATAGATAGACAGACAGACAGACAGACAGACAGACAGACAGACAGACAGACAGATAGATAGATAGATAGATAGATAGATAGATAGATAGATAGATAGACAGACAGACAGACAGACAGACAGACAGACAGACAGACAGACAGACAGACAGATAGACAGACAGACAGACAGACAGACAGACAGACAGACAGACAGACAGACAGACAGACAGATAGATAGATAGATAGATAGATAGATAGATAGATAGATAGATAGATAGATAGATAGATAGATAGATAGATAGATAGATAGACAGACAGACAGACAGACAGACAGACAGACAGACAGACAGACAGACAGACAGACAGATAAATACATATACATACATAGGACATATCTAGGAGCAAGAATTATTTCTATCAGCCTGACATTTTATAGGAAAGATTTCTTAAAATCAAGGTCAACTTACAGCAGAGTGGCTGTCATTCAGCCATGACTAAGTAGACAGTGTAGAGTTCGAATTGCTGTGCTTGATCAAAAAATTAAGCCAGCTCAGCATGGAGCATTGGATACAACAAAAAGAGGTTGCCAGGCAGCAAGAGTTTCAAGTTCTCATTCAGAGACTGCATGTGGACAGAGCACAGAGGGGACATTGTTGAGGAAACAAAGAGACGCCTTAGCAACCATCAAACTATTAATTAAAGCCACTTTGAGTATGAAAGACTTTGTGAAACATATTTTTGCAAGGAATACCTATGAGTTATATCTTCAGTTATGAATTAATTAATAAATAAATAAATAAATAATCCTAACAATAATAATGTGTATATGGTTTATATTTATTCTTTTTCAAGTTTTTAGCAATTGCAATAAATAGCTAATGTTCATATTTTATCTCTTTCATTTTCATTTGGGCTTTTTGACCTAAATTAAATTACGTAATAGACCTTTAAATTACTATTGCGATTTCATTGGTGTTAAATGTTTTGGACGTTGCTTTTGTGTTTTGCAGTAAATTGTACTTTCAAATCAAAACCAGCAGAGGGTAGCAATCGACCCATTTAAAGATAGAGGTCGGGATGGGGAATAGATGAAGAAAACAGAGGACGCTAAGATATTGTAAATACAATAAGAGCATATAAAATTTTATTAACAGACAAACCACAACAAAAAGGATTCTAAAAGATTAAGTGCTTACAAGCCTTCAGTAAAGCGTGCCATTAGAGTGGAAGGGTATTGACTTGACCTTGACTATAATTTCTACTCCATGAACTTTACACGTTTCAGGCCAGAACAAAAAAGGTAACAGAGCCAAACTCAAGAGTTGAATCAGTGGGTCAAAGGGCACAGCTGGGTTTTACAGGGGTTATGTTTTTTTTAAGAGCAGAAGCTCCTAACACAAACTGTCTATTGCACATAGAACAAGTCAGATGTCCAGCTGGTAGGACAGCTAGGTTGGTCAACCCTTTATAAACAGCTGCCTCGTCTTGAGATGTAGCAAGAACCTGTTGAACAATGGAAATGAGCATCTTAAGAGCATGTGGGGCATGACCTCAGAACGTTTGTAAAAGTTCAGACAAATCTATCATTCACACTCCTTTTAGTTCTGTCACATACAAAGAAGTACAAATCATCATTTGACAGGTGATCAGATGGACTATTCATTTTTTTCTTCAAGGAATAGTTCACTCAAAAAGGAAAACTTACAAAAGAATCTTTACATTTTACAATTTTGGAGTATGATCATTACATTTAAAGGATTGTGTAAAGGTTCTTCAAAGATTCTCCTTTTATTTTCCAGAATAAAAAATAGCAGCATGGTTCAGAATAACTTGAAAGTGAGTAAAATAATGTCATAATTCTAATTTTTGGTGTGAACTATCCCTTTAAAGCATCTACTTTCATGTTACCAACACTTTAGTTCAGTTTGATACATTTGCAGCTTTTAGACTTTGTGTTATTTTGATTGCTAATCACACCTTTGGGTCATGGAAAAGTCTTTTGATTGTTTAACAATCTGCTTTTCTCATTAGGTGTGACAGCTGTTACGCTGCATTAACCCCTTTTATCTGAATCAAAGTAAAAACACTGGGAATATGTTGTGGTTTTGTTCTGCCTAATGAGTATCATCATTCATTAAAAATATACAGTGTGGAGGAAGAATTTTATTATTTCATACAGAGTGTCAACACCCCTGGTAGAGAAACAGATGGTGTTATACCAGTGCTCAATCTTCATCCCGCGAATGTTATTCACATCCTCTTTGAGGAGGAGTGGCACGCCCTTGATAAAAACAGTTTACCAGATGGCCTCTGGTTATGCGATCCCTTCACACAGTCTCGCAGGCATCCCACAACAGACTGTGTTTAACTTTCTCAGAGCAGAACTTTGGCTGATTATCGTCATGTTGATACAGGACAGTCAGAGAAGAATAATTTTTGTTAATGCTCAGTAAGGTCAGTGTTAAATTAGAAAGATGTTGCTCATTAGCAAAGCCATTTATTGTGGAGTCTAATTAATCCAACAACAGATATTTCATGACTTAAATTTTGAGGGCAAACATTACTTAATATCGCTACTGTAGGTGCATGATGGACATTCTCGTTTACACCACATGTTGATAAGAGATGAATTGCACAAAGAAGAGCAAAAACAACCATATTTCTTGAAAAGATGTTGGCTACAGATTATTATACTGCATATCACGGGACAATAAAATGAATTAGCCTATTATTGGATTCTTCATCTGTGGGCACTTCTGAACCTGTGGACATTTTGAAAACACAATTTTCACACTAACTAGTTTTCTAACAACAAACAAACGTCACAGACATTTGCACTATGTCTAGCATTATGTTTAGCATTTTGTGGTGAGAATGATCCCAGATAGCACATGTACGTCTGTAAGATGTCTGCTAAAGATGTTAATCTGGAAAGCATGCTGTGTAAAAACATCTGATAAACGTCTTAGAAAAAGCAGTTTTACATACATTCTAAATCTTAAACTAATGTCTATATGACATCTAACAGGAAACGTCCTGGAGACGTATTGCAGATGACGAGCAAACACTCCAAAAAAAGACATCTTGCAGATGTAAATGCATAGACGTCTCCGAGATGTACTGCTAGACTATTTGAAACATTTTTATAAACGGCTCAAACTCATTTGTCATGCTACTCATGAGTCTACTTTTAATTTATATGTTCCGATTTTTATAAAATGACTGCTTGATTGAAAATGAAGAAAGTATGTGAATAAATATCAAGTAGGCTAGTAATACTTTCATTGATTTTTCTTTATTTTCCTCACATATCTAATTTCATTTCAAGCATACTCCTCTACTGACAAGTACACTTCCTTGGTAAAAGAACACTAACTTTTGACCGGGAAAAAAATCGTCGTTGGTGGAAATGACGCCACCACTGTTACGTTGTTACAAATGTGAATAAAGACATTCATCATGGTAATTTCAATGCACAATCGTTAACATGTCCTTTGTATTAGTAGATTTAACTGAAAAGATGGGGTTAAAATATGTAGAGGATGTGTGTAAACGAGCTGCACTGGAGAATGGGACAGTCAGCTCGAGATGCTCCAGCGGCAGGAGGTGTGTGTGGTCTGGACAGCAGCCCATGAAACACTCGCTGTTCTCCTCAAAGACACAACAGATATTTCTTTGCCAGCTTTCATTTCGGGACTTATCGGTCGGGATATTATCCTGGATTGTGTTATTGGTTTGGAGACGCTCTTAAATGTAATGCTAAAGAGCATTAGAGACTGAAATGCATTTAAACGTCTGTGTGGAGTATTGCCTTGCTATTCTATTTATTATTTTAAACAACACTGTCAGTTGTCAAAAAGGTAAGTAAATCGATAAACATTCTTGGACTAAATGCTATATTTAATTCTTACGTAAGAGCACGTTTGGGCAACAGTTTTGGTTGCTTTATTTATTTATTTATTTATTTATTTTCGCAGTTATTAAATTCATTATTAATAGTTGTATAAAATTAATATCAATTTATGAATTACCTCGTATTATGTATGATCATCACACTTAAAGGATGCCCTCGGCCTTTTTTTCTTGCTAATTAAAGTTTTACTCTTAATGAAGTTAACAGCAATTTTGAGAAACAGCGATAAAAAGATGTAAATTCCCACTAGATGAAGACAATAGAAAAAGCTGTTAGCTGATATGAAGCAGGTCGCATTGACATGTTGACATGACCTGACGTGACTTGCACTGCAGTTTCTACCACTACTATCAACGAAATAGTCATTTAATTTCAAACTTGTGTATACTGTATGTTTTTGAGTAAAACTAAGTGTGTGTTTGTGTGTATTATTACAGTGGAGCCCCCTGAATGCAGTCGTGGGGGTTA